GTGCCCTGGCCACGCACAGATGTGCAAGTGGTATGGCTCGCCCTGTTCTATGGTGATGTTAACTACCTTCAAGAGGTAGAGCCCAAAGGCAGGTCCTGAGGTCGCTCGCAGAGGGGTGAAGGCAACTCGAGGGACCTCTGAGCCAGTTCTCCTGAGAGGATCACTGTAAAGAAGCCCTCTCTGCTCCCATTGCCTGTCTCACCAGTGTCTCGTCTGTTGGGCCCACTCTGACAGACCAAGCTGTCTGTCTTGATGCTCAGAGCCCTCACAGAGCTGGTGCCATGCTGTCAGACTTTCCAGAACTATGAATTCAATAAGCTGTTGTATTTACAAGTGACCCGGACTCAGCTATTTTGTTATAGTAACAGGAAACAGAGTAACATGATTGCAAAGAAGAGAACTTTGCCAGAGACCTTCCCAAACACATCAACTTTCCCTTCAACTATGGCTGGAGGCAGAACTGGGCAAACATAGTGGGGCCTAAGAAAGACAGAATTTTAGGGCTGCAGAGGATTCCCGGTGCAGGGGGCTGGGGAAACAGCAGCACTGAAGAAGAGCGTGGTGAGGAAGGCGGTGGCCAGCCGCACCCACCCCATCTCCGGGGCAGCAGGAGCCGGGTTCTGGGGCATCTGGCTAGCGTGGCTGGCTGCACCCCGGTAGTTGTACCCAGCTTTATTCCCTAACAAAGTTTCAATTCTGTCCCAGTGCAATGTGCCCGGCCTGGAGGAGGAGTCAAGACTGGCCAAAGCGTGCGTTGGCAGCTCCATCACTCTTGCCAATGAGAAGCAATGGCGACCATGTGACCTATCCTGGCGGGCGGCTAAAGGGAAATTCTGCCAAAAGATGTTGGAAAAGTTTCTCTACTGATTTTAATAAAAGAGAATAGTCCTAAAGAAGATAGCTCTTTTTCCTGCTACCTTCCCTTCCCCAGCTAGTCCACATGAAGATGCAAGGACGGCGCTTCAGCAGAAAGGGCCAGAGAGCGATGAAGCCAAGTCACTCACATAGCCAAATCCTCTGTCTGTCTTTCAGGCTCTTCTTTTTAGGCAAGAAAACTCAGTGACAGTCAACATTTAAACAACCAGGTATTCCATCACAGCTACCAAAAGCATATTTAGAGGGTGTATTAATCAGTATTCTGTAACTATAACTACATAGCTGAGGCAGGATACTTTATAAAGAAAAGCTTATTTAGCTCAATTTTGGAGGCTGAAAGTCCGGGATTGTGTGGCTTCACTGTTTTGGCCTCTGGTTAGGGCCTAATGCCAAATGGCACTGTAGTGGGAACAAATGACACAGAGGGATTATGCTGCAAAACAGGAAGCCAGAGTGGGATTGGGGATCCACAGTCCTCTACTGACCTAAGGACTTTAATGCCATTAAGGCACATCGTCAGTTGAGTTCAAGACCTTGCAGTAGGCGGGCCCCTTATTAA